AATATCCAGCCCCCTCCCCACCATAACTTTGTATTCTGGTAAACAAAAACAACAACAATAATAATAACAACAACAATAGTAACAACACCAACAACATAATTGTGCATTAAGCAGTTGTTACAAGACAAGTGATTTATTTCCTTTCTTAGGAATTTGACTCTCACGGTACACCAAGAATTGACGTCGTAATTGCAGGTCTATGCAACGTCTACACCCATTACATTGCCACCTATGAAGAATACCAGGTAAATACTGAACATGTTTAACTGAGTTCAGCTTTTGGCTATATGTGATGATAATTCATCTGAAATTATGTATGTTTATAGTACTTTTCTTTTGCCACAAAATGCTGAAGAATCTGTGGCAGAAATCATGAGACCTTTTTGTTTATTCTGGCCTAAACAACACGATCTAAGGGCCAATGTGGCTTCCTGACCGTAGCTAGAGAGTCTGTATGGATGCTTTAATGTGGAAATGGTCAGACACACTGAAGGGAGCTCCTGTGAGTTCAGGTCTGGTTTAGTAATCTCCCGATGACTTGGATGAATTAGAAATTATAAGGTGGCAAAATTACCAGAAGAAAGATTTGGATCTCTAGGGTCATAAGGTGAACATGAATTGCCATGTTGCTGTGGAAAAGACTGCAATATATCTTGCAAGATCCAGTTTTAAGGGTCCCCACAAGGCATGGTAGATACTGTGCTTTGGGGAAGATGTGGACCATTGGATAGACTGCTTGGGTTTAGAAACCTTAAACTGGGAGGGAAGGTTGGAAGAACTAGGTTTGTCTAGCCCAAAAATTTGGAGAGGAGACAACTTACATCATAAGCCTTTAACAGAGTAAAAGAGCTGTGATAATTGGACGAGTGATAACTAGTCCTTCCTGTTTGTGACGGATTGGAGAATGAAGAGTAACCTGAAATTGCAGCAAAAATACTTAGGCAAGTTGTTGGGCTGTCTCCATAACAGTAAGGGAGTGAATAAACCCCCGCAGGTATAGCGCTGATCTTGTCTTGACGTGGTAGGATGAGCTGTATAAACTGCTCAAGATTATTTTGAACCGTCATTTTCCAAATTTGTCCTTTGCTAGGTTCAACGATACGAGGCTGCATCAACTATTTATGGGCCACACACCCTTTCTGCTTATATTCAACTGTACAGAGGACTTGCAAGGGCTATTGCTACGGTAATAAAAATTTTCTATATGCCACATGCTGCTGGAGATATTTAAATCTTGTAAATGGTGATGGCTATATTTGTTCCTCAGCAAAGCTGCATGATTGCTACCCTCTCTTTTCTCATGCAAAACTGCTTTGTGAAATTCTCATGTGATATGAAAATAATTCCTGTAATGGTGGTCTCTTACCACTTGAGAAATGCTGGGGGTTTTTTTGTTCAAAGTTTAGGAAATAGGTACCTCCAATCTTTCAGCGTGGCCTGAAGTTGCTGCTTCTCTACCAAGAGGAAAAAAAAAATCTGCTAAATTTCTGCTGTACATCATGGCAATGTTTGTTTCTGCTGCATCTGTGGACCATGCGAACATGTAGGACTAGTGCACGGGTGCTGCCTCCTGAACTCATGGGATATTCTGGCAGGTGGATTTGGGGCACCTCTGCAATAGGGCACCAGTGTCCTGTGGGATTGTTCCTGCATGCAGAGCACAGATGAAGATCATCTTGTTTGGTTTTATGCTCACTTTATGGCCTTTGTTCTTAAAATCTATCTAAGCAATGGACTTGGACAAAGAGCCACAGCAGTGATATTATTGATCAGGGAGATGCTGGTTAGCTATATGTATTTATAACGAGCACATCTTCCCTCTCCCAGAATACAGTTCAGGATTTGCCACGTGGTCCAGAGCCCCCTGTTTTCAACATAGGTAACATGACCTTGTTGCCTGCTGTCACTGCCGATCGTGTGCCGGTGAACAAGACATTTGGAGATGTGCTACAAGAAGTGAGACAACAGTATCGAGTGGTGAGAGCTTCAAAGATTTGTCAAAACCTGTTTAGGAAATTGTCTTTAAAATCTTACCCCTCATCCAAAAAAGTCTATGTTTTCTAAAGGGTCATGATGCTCACAGACCAAAAATGTCTCATTGCTCTCAGAGGGCATGGTTGAAAAGACAGAGCACTTTCATGCCAGTGTCATTGTACTGAACATGATTTAAATGGGTGTATGAAGGGGCAAATAAAAGCCCTTTATTCAACATGAAGGTGATTTCCCCTTCTGCTTCGACATAACATTTGGTGATTAAATAGGCAAATATTGTACAGTGATTTCTTTACAAGCAGAAATCAGGTCACCTTTGATGCCTCTGGTATGGAATGTAAATGAAATAAAAAATGTCAGAAAGGGTTTAGTTTTCAATGCTCAAACTTTAGATAAGGTGTTCAGAGTAAGGAGTTTCATATTGCTGTCTCCAGCAGCAAGGTAGGAAGAAGGCAGGCAAGCATTCATAAAAATCTCTCTTATTTCCCTCACTCTTTTACACAGCAATCTTATGTGCTATGGCAGTTTATCCAGCAAGCAGGACAAGTGGAATGGCAAGGCACAGAGTACAGTATAAAATGTCTGTTGCTATTGCAGCAAGTGAAATTATAAATAATTCAAAGAAAAAACAAACCCAAAAAATGACAAAAAAAACCCAAACCACTAAAACACTACGTGGCATTTTCAAAGGATGTTCTTAACATGCAATATACTGCTTAGTCTTTAATATAAATCTCAATTTCCCCCACAGAGAGAGGTTGCTGAAGTAACTTTTGTAGGTGCAAACCCCAGGAACTCTGCAGAGAATGCGGTAAATATGATGCAATGACGCTGGAATTGGGGATGTTCGGGATTAGTGAATAGTAACTCCTCTGCTTGATGCATTTTAATCTTTGACATTCAGGTTTCAGTAGGAGTTAGATCATGTGCTTCCAGTGCTTTTTTCATTTGCTGTGAGTTCAGAAGAAGATAGTTTCTCCCTTTAACATGTGCTTTGGGAATTCACACCACCAGAATGCTTTTGGGGCGAAGGCCTTAATTTGGTCAGATACGGACCATTCACAATCTCTTCATACTATTGAAGTCGAAGGCACCAGTGTTGTTCATTAGGCCAGACACTCTTTCTAGGTTGGTATCCAGTGCCATCATGTCATAGCAAGCATGGTCTCTAGTCTCCACCTTATCAGCCCGGTGCATTATTTTAATAAAACAAAGAAAATTAGAAAAGTACTTAATTCACCCCATCACTCATCTTGTGTATATGTGATAGCACATACCTCACCTGTCCCTTCTCTTTTTAATGATCAAGTTCTTTAGTCATTCTTTGTGTCATTTATTATCTCAAATTTGTGCGTTGGCAGCGAATACAAGCATTTTTGCTAGTAATTATTGCATTTGCCAGTAAAATACACAGAAGCACAGTGCCTTCCCCAAGTGACACAGAAAAGTAGGGACATGCCTGTACCTTCAGCGTCTGGCTAACTCTTTTATTTTTATTCCAGACTGAACACAACTTTCTGACAGTGGAGAGATATACCAACACTTCAGACAGCTGGCATGTGGTACAGAACGATGCCTCCTGGGACACCAGGTGGGTGCCCAGACCAGATTTCACTGTTCCACAAACTCCATGGAGTAATTAGAATTTAACTTGAAGGGCTTCATTTCAGAGCTCCCAAGCATAGGTTGGTCTTGTTCCTGTAGATGATGCTTTCTGGGGACGGATCAATCCGTATTTCGGTGGTTAACTTGTCAAGACCACAATAATCAACCTTCCCCTTGGGTCTAGCTTCTGCTGTGAAGGTTTATGAGTTCAGGAAAGGTGGAAGGAAGAACAAGAATTACAGAAGGTTCATGGTCCAACTTGTTTATAACCTACATTCATCCGTCTGCCGTACCATGTTGATGAATAGGATACCAAATAGAAAATATGAGAGGTTCACCACAGTAGGGTTTTCATAGGAAAAAACTGGCCAGCTTTGCTGTGCATCATAAGTAGAAACAGTCAACAATTTAAAAAACATTTGTAAGACCGCAAAGTTAAGTTTAGAGATGTCAGTCTTAAGGAAAAATATTCACTAAGCAGAAAAGCTGGTGTCACCTTTCAGAGCTACACCAGAAGTCAGCACATGAAATAGGAATACCAAAGGCATCTTTTGTCAAGCTATTTGATTTCAAGTTACACCCCTGTTTGAATAAAACCAGACGTTTTCCCACCTGCGTTGGCAACCTATCTGTGAGAAACCGGACCCCAAAAAATATGGCTCTCGTGGTCTTCTGATCTTGCAACGTCCCAGTGCAAACCAGTAACATCCAAGGTCAGAGAGACAATGTTCCCAACAGCTTGGCTTTATCGGAAAAGTCTTCCTCTGGATTTATGATGAGCGTTTGATAGGGCATAATTCTCTCTGCCCAAGTGCAACCTGCTGCTCTCTAGACCTAATCCGGTAGCCAGGACTCCAGCTGTCCCAACGCAGGAGATGTATACGTACCTGCACTTGGAGCTCTGTATTTCTAAGTGCTTACCCTCTGTTTAGCACTTGCGCTGTATTACCTTGTCACTCTCATTGATGTCACCCTTTCCAGTCAAGTTCCTTACTTGAGTAAGGGAAATGATGGCATTTTATCACCCATACATGTAGCCCTGACTTCTTCCCTCCTCTTCCAAAAACCCAACAGATTTCCTAAAATCTTTGCCAGGAACACTGAAAAGGTTTAATAACACATCACTCTAGAAGATGGAAGCCATATCAAAGTGCAAAACTTGAAGAAGAAGAAAAAACTTGCCATGACACTGGAAAGATGGGAATCTAGATGTCTTACTTTCCTTCCTGGGAAAGGTCAGACTTTGGCTCTCTGAATGATGCTTAAATACTTCTACTGGTAAGGAAGAGGAGCTGTTTGGCCTTTTCGCGCCTAAAGGGCCTGGCCAGAAGGCAAATCAACGAGGACAGTAACCTCTCCCTTCCTGGTGCCCGAGGAGAGTACCAAACACCACAAGAAAGGGAAATGGTTCTGTTAAGTTGAAAATGAGTCACTTTTCATGATGTCAGTGTGTTAACCTTGAAATGTCAGTAATTAAGGTGATAGGGATAGGGAGCACCAACATTTTTACTAGATATTAGTGGAGTCAGACTATGGTTTTTTCAGTACAGGAAGAACTAACATTTGATACCATTGAACGTGCTGACATTGCAACAGGAGAGTATCACAAGGGAACACATTGTTTGTTAGTTTAACGTTGCAAAGTGTTAAATAGCTTATAGCTGCATTTGTGAAACGCGTATTTTCAGGGATCAAAAGATAGGAAGGTTTACTTAAAGAAGGTGCAGCTTTCGAGGTGGGGGGAGAAAGAGATAACTGTTATCTGCCCTTTGTCCTGTGCTTACTGTCGCAGCAGGGACAAACTCAGTGCAGACTTGCCCTTTTGCTGGATGCTGTCTTGGTGTTTGCAGTAGACAAGTGTTTGGCCCCACCCTGCATCTGCCATGGGGACAGTAATTGCTTTCTTGGGACTGTTTAGGAGGAGGGGCTGAGCTACAGGCAGGAATTTGTCTGGCCCTGCCTTCAGCAAACATCCAACAGAGATAAGACATGGTTAAATCCCCATCAGCTCATGTGTGAGAAGCCTCTTCCCAGGTGGTATCTTGAGTTCTCAAGTCCCAGGGCAGTGGTCCTGGTTCATTGAGCCTGGAGGGCAGGATGAGGAGGAAGCTGGGTAGTGGCATAGATCTACCACAGCAGCATTTTTAAGTCAAAGCACTACAGCCAGGCTCAGGGTGCAGTTCTCTGGTCCAGCTCAGCTCCCAGTGGGGCCAACATTGCAGCTATAGCAGGTTGCTTGGGGCCATGTCCAGGCAAGTCAGGGTGGTCCCCAAGGATGGAGATCCCCCACCACTTCAGGCCTCGTGCTATCACCTTGCTGTCATCTCCCAAGAAAACACTGTCTTTGTCCCAAGACAAGCCAGTGCAATCCACAGTCAAAACCTTGGACAAGAGCAAACAGGCAGATACACAGGCCCTGTGTCAGCATGTGGTCCCGGTTTACCAACCCAAATTTCCCCCATCACTCACTGTTTTTCACCCAGTCATGTCTGTAAATATTTATTTCAATCTTCTCAGTAAGACTGATATGGGAAAACTTTTTATTACCATTGCTGATGAATCAACACATTTTGTTCATCTGCTTCCTTTAGTTAAAGCCCTGAAATGAGAGTGCTACCTCAGTAAGACTTAATAACTCTCACGTCTGGCCCGGATACAATTAGGGAGTTATCCAGCCGTGCCCCTCATTGGCAGTATCAAAAGAAGAGCAGGTTCACCTTTTTCATCTCCCCAAGAAACTCTCCATCATGGCCGGCTGAAAAATCCCTCTCCCCCAGATGACGTGTGGCTGTCTGTAGGGTTTTGAAGTTGAGCGGAAGTAGTTTTGCACAAGGAGTCTGCAAAAGAAAAATGGGAGTCTGAGGTGGAAATGGGTGCCAGAAGCCCTGAGATCGATTATGATAGATTTTTCTTGTGACCTTCAATAAATACTCATCCTCTTGGTTCAGCATTCCCCCCATGCAGCGAAGACTAAGCTGATGAATATTGCTCACAGAGTTAATGTACACGGTTATGATACCGAGTTGGGAATGTAAGAACACCTTGGTAGAAATATTCTTCATTTGCAAAAAGGATGACTGACTTTTTTTTTTTTCCCATGTTTCCAGATATTTTTCAGCCCTGCCAGGTTTTGGGTTGGCTTGTTGATTGCTGCTCTGATAGCCTAAATATATGAGGAAAGGTTAAAGGAAGCTATTAAAATATGCTTAACTGGACTGCATTCATCTTGTTCCACTTAGTGAGCTCTTGGGATGTTAAAACAAACGAAAAGTGGATTTTCTTGCTGACTGCAGTTTTTGGTTTGTCTGCTAGGTTTTACTGGACCAAAGGATTACTTGGTCGGAGCAAGGTGACTATTGAATGGCACATCCCTCATGGCACAGAGCTGGGTGTCTACAGGATACGGTACTTTGGGCACTACAGGAGAAATCTGTCTAACAATCACGCCGTCTTTATTCCATTTGAAGGCACATCTTCAGCGTTTGAAATCACAGCCCTGTAGGTGATCTCGTTCATAAAAGGAATTGTTTCCTTTGAGTAGTAGATTTGATATCTGTGATGTTCAAAATACATGCATGGGAGAATTTTTGTGGCGTATGTGACTCTACATCATTGCTGTCCCTCGAGTGCTGCTGGCCATCCTTTGCTGTGCAAAACATGACTTCCTGCAAAGTTCTGACTTAGCTGCAATTCACTCTCACTGATCCGATGTATTCTTATTCAAGTGGTTCCTGTCCTGGCCAGATCTTGTTGCTGTTGATTCTTATTGTAATAAAAGATGTAACTGTTCTTCTTTAGTCAGTAAATAAGTGCTTATTGATTGTGCATAGGCTCTCCTCAGAGAGAATTAGTGTGTATCAGGAGCTAATCCAGATGATAAAATAGTCTATAAAATTGATCCCAGTCCATAAAACTGGAAAGAGCTGCTGAATTCACAAGGTGTCAGAAGAGAAGGCTCCTCAATCATGCTTGAAGTGCAAAGCTGATCTCTTAGGATGGTAAAGGGATAAATAGGATAGATACTCATCAGAAAGTTTTGAATAATGCTGCATTTAATCATTCCAGTTTAGGGCGTTTGTCAGATTCATCCTCTGAGTTAAAAGCCACCACAGACTACGGGTGGTGGTGGGCCAACAGCGTCATATGAAGTGAACTGCACATAGTTCTCCATAAATCAGTGGTCTTGGTTTCACAGCTGCCTAATGAGAATGGCTGCATAGGGTCCTACCTCAGAGGTCTTGAATAAGGAAAGGAAGGTCAGTCACTTGCAAAATAAAATGCTGAAGCTGTTGGCAGTTTTTTCCTGCTAGACTGTGTTATTCTTTTTCACAAATGTCACTTTTGAACTGACCCGCATGCCAGGTGGGCTCAGTGCTGCCCACCCACATGTGAGCTTGTGTCATTTCAAGTGGATGATGGGCAAGTTTTTGGAAAAGAAACCCTGTGAAAGCTCTCGAGAAACTACAGATGAGCTGAAGGCCACCTAATCACTGGAAGGACTACATATGTTCACTCTGATTTTATGACCTAAAGACATCATGCATCTGTGGCATGGTTCAGAGGCAGGATTCTGGGTGAGAAAGACTTTGGGGCTGACTTTGTCCGTTCTTGATGTCCTTCTGTTAACCTCCTGCCCAGTCCCCTGATCACAGCAAAGGGCAGCAGATGGCATTTTACCCTCTAAATATCACTTTGGGACACAACAAAAAGATTAAAAGTACGGATGCTTACATGTGCCAGAGGTTGTTTCAATAGGAGAGTGTCATGGGAGGACACTGGGGTTACACCAGAGGCCATGCACAGGATGGGGATTTTGGGAGGAACCTCCTGGTGAGGGAGAGCCTGCAGCTGCTAGACAAAGGGGACTGATGTCCAACCAGAGCAGGGCTGGATTTCATTGCAGTGAGTTTATATTTCAGGTAATGCAGCTGGAAATTAGTAAGAATTGAACTTAGGAATTAAAGGTGTGAGCGAGGCAGCTCTGAACAGCCCTCAGTCAGCTTCACTTTAGCATCAGGAAGGACTCAAGGTGAGCAGGCTCTACCTGGATGAACAACTGCCCAGAGCTGGTAGCCAAAGCTTGAATCACCTACAGGTAGGTCACCAGAAGGGCTCGTGGTGCCCCTCCAACCCCTGTGAAAGACCAGTGGAGGGTTTCATCAAAGCACAGAATGAAGACACCATTGAAGGGGCAGAAGGACAGTCCCGAAACTTGTTGACTGGGTTTCAACACAGGAAGGTCCCCCAGAAGGTAGTGGATCTTCTCCTGGGGATTTCAGGAACTGGCTGGACAAAGCCATGAGCATCTTGACCCAGTGCTGGTGGCAGGTCCCTCATGAGGTGCCTCCCACCAGCACTGTCATGGGATGTCATAAGCAGGGATGGCTCCACAGTGCCCATGTCTCTTCCAGCCTATGCAAGTGGTAGATCCAGGGGGCACAGGGAGAAGAAAATATGCCCTTCAGATATGGATTTAGAATTCTTGTAGTGTCTTATAGCTAAACAATTGTAAATGTTTAATAAGCTCCAACAATATATACCAATTTTGTATGCATTCTCTTCAATTCTTCAGAGAATCATCAGTCAGATAATTTTACCTCTCTTTAAAATCAGTAGGAGAGAATGAATTATTCATTTTAAACCAGCTGCAATCAGTCTCAGTGATTTCCACCCAGAGGAGCTCAAAGCAATCGCAATATTGAGTCAGGAAAGAGAGAGCTTTGGAAGAACAACGCTGGGAATCAAAGCTCTGAAGATGCTCTTAATGTCCTTTCCTAATAACTCACTCAGCCAGCCCATCTGCCCTGCTTTTGTCAGCAAAACTGCTCTGATGGCAGACGTGGTGTCTGCAGGATATGGTCACAGCAGAGGATGCGGCTCCAGCATCCCACTGTGCCAGGGGACAGGCTTGGTCAGTACAGCAATGCCCAAGTTGCAAAATGACCCAGAAAATTTCTTGCAAAGTTTTTCCTGCTTTGCTTGTGTTTTCACAACCATGCATAGTGAAACACATCGCTGCCACTTGAAACAGGGTCAGATTATCTTTATGAAACACGGTAGCTGCTTTCTGGCCCAAAAATGCTGCTGCCTAATGAATCCCAGTGTAGCAATCACCCTCCCTCTACTTGTTGTTTTTCTTACACTGTGTAAACTACAATAAATCGCACCGCATTGCTCCTATTTTCCCAAAAGAAATACACTGGGAAAAAGGAAATACTGGTTCATTTTTGCTCAGGCAACACTGAGATGTTTTGTTTGATTGTTTCAGGTAATTTTGTTTGTATTCTTGCATTACACTAACCATGGAATTTTTCTAGTAGTACTCATACAGAACATGTTTATGCAAGCAAAGTTGAATTGTGCAGTTGATATGCTCATGGGTAAGATTTGTGCTCCAAAATGTGAGCATCTGACCCCAAAAGAGAGTTTTTAGGAAGCTGGTGTTTCCCATGGGAGAAGAGGTGTTCAGAGCCAGAAGCAGGGTGTCTGGAGATTCCCACCAGTGCCCCAGAGCAGGTACCATTGCAAAACACCTCATAGCAGGCTTATTTATTTGTCACCAGTGAGCACAGGCTTTTTGAAGTTTTGGGGAGTTTTTTTGGAACTTTTCATAATTTTTTTTGTGTCTAGAAAATTCAGCAGCTCCAAGTGTGAGAAAGGCTGTTGAGAGAAGTCCTTTCTTTTCTTTGCTCTTTTAACAGCATTGTAGCTGTCGTGTACTGTTGGCATTCAGTGACAAGCAGCCCTTCCCTCCTACCTCCACGCCGTGGTTGAATCCAGCAGCCACTAGATGCCAGTGCTGTTTTACATGAGCACAAGCTTACCGCTGAACAGAGCCAAAGCCCAGAAAAATTTTTCAGGAATTTGGGCAACTTGCCAGTTGTTAAATATAACATTATTCATCACAGTTGCTCTTCTCTCTCTCTGGCTGCTCTCCTTCAATGTATAGCCATTTGTGCCTTGCATACATGCTTGGGAGGTAAGCAAAACTCCACTTTTTCTTTCTTTCTTTTTTTTTTTCAATTGTGGGACATAAACTGGTATGAACTTGAGAAACTTGTTTGTGTCTGCAGGCTGAGCCACCTTGCAGAGCTCCTTTGCAAAACTTGACCATGCCACAACTTTCCTCCTGCACGACCTTATCCCTCCTCAATATACTGACAGTATTTGGAGCTGCAGAAGAGATGCTTAATTAGGATCTGACCTAAGGCACTGGGGGGAAAGGGGAGAATCCCTCTGCTGTCTTCAGTCTCTGATGCAGGTTTTTAGGATCTGTCTGATCCTGTGGTTGTCTAGTGCCGGATATTTGTGTGCAACCTGTGTACAGATCCACCAGTGGCTATCTGCTTTTTAACATCTTCACAACCGGGGCTGCATATGCATGAGGTGGATCAGGGGACCAAGGAATGTCACTCTTCCAGTGTTTTCCCTAACCAGCCCCAAATCTGGATGTGGACAGTCTCCATCTCCTGCATGTAGCCAGACCCAGGCCAGGCCAATTGTATGGGCATGGAGAGGAGTTCAAGCTGGCAGGGCATCTCCAGGGAGAGAGAGCAGCCCACCCCAAGCACCCCCTGAAGGAGAGGGGTTGGTGGGTAGGAGCTATTTAAGCCCCCCCTACCAGCACTTTAAGTAAGAGAAGCCGAGAATTGCAATTTTAGCCCAGACCAGGGTTTGGGGGGTGCTCAATAATTTCCAGCCTTCAAAGAAAGGAGTATCCCATGAGAGCACCATGAGCAGCACCAGGGCCAGGCTGACCCCGAGGCAGCTAGTGAACAGCAGTGATTTTTGGTCTCTGACTGGATGTTACACTTCAAAGGGTTTTGTTTTGTTTTCCAAAAAAGGGAATTCCAGGTAGGTATGTCATGGAGGAATGAGATAGTTGATGGGACATTTAGCTGGGCTAGTGGAAAAAGGAAGCCATGCAAGCCCAAAGATCAAGCAACTCCCCTTGAAAGTCACTGGAGTCCCATGCACTTCTAGAGGGGTTTCAGTGGGACATGGGAGATGTCTGGGTGGGATGTTTCAGGGTCTATCCACCTCCAAAGGCAGAGTCATTGTGTAATCCTCAGACATGTTTTATTCTTGCTTTGCACCTCAGATGTGAGACCCTGTGCTGTAGAGACCTCCAGGAAAGGGTTGGCTGGAAGAAAGGAGAAGGAAAATGCAGGGTTTGTACCTCCTGCCCTGCAAGCAGCAAAACATATGGCCATCTGATGATTTTTTTTGGGCCATTGATCTTCCCATCACTTACGGCTCAAACAGGTCTTAGATTTGTTTGTGAAGGATGGACATGCTTTTTGGTCTTTTCTAGCTATTTGCTGGGAACCCATGTCTTTACAAATGGAAAACAGTGCTTTTTAAGTTGTGTTGTGGGTTTGAGATGTCTTGAAAAATCATTCAAGCTCTCCAAAATTGGTTAGCCAGATGCTGCTGAGCAAAGAGGGAATCTCCAAGAGGGGAAACATTAAAGCACAAAAGCAAATTCTGCTATTGCCCTGA